CACAGGACCATAATTTAATTGCTTACAGGGCTGCTAATCATAATTCATTATCTGATGAAGGTACTAACTAAAGAACCTTTTGGTAGTATGTCAGCTATCAAATATGTGAGGCATATATAAATGCTTGCTCATCTGCAACATGTCTTGTGCAGTCTGGGTGTGCTAATGAGGATGACAAGGTTTTGGCTTCTGCTACTTGATGCATCGCACCAAACCTGAAGCTCAACATTGCTTTTGTAGTCTCCTTTTCTCGTGTTCCAAGCTTTTGTAGTCTCCCTCAAAAGTTGTTGATGTTTGTTGCTTCCTGAATCCTGATGGTCTGTCGTTTTGCTTCCGGTTTTCTGAATAAAGCAGAGTGTGGCTTGTTCAAGAAATATACTCCCTCCATAAAGAAACATAAGAGCGTTTAAACCATTACTTTAGTGATCTAAACGCTCTTATATTTCTTTACAGAGGGAGTATATGCTTATCTAATGAATTGCTCAATAGCCTCACTTAGTAATATCCAATGCCTTCGCAGGGTCTTAAAAAGGCTGCAGAGCACAGATGAACATCTCATTCATTTTCTATGGATTCTTTACAGTCAACACAGAGTATCCAAAAATGGAAAACGCGATGAATATTTGTACTGTGTCCGGTTAGACAAGGTTTACGTCTGACAAATTGCTGCACTATGTTGATGCAACGTAATACTTCCATGAATAATTGGTATTTGGTTGGTATTCCCTACCAGTATACAACCATCTGTGTCGGCTTGCTCAGTTGCTCAAGTGTGTTCCTATCATGGCACATTTGTTTGCAGTTTTTCTATCTCTGGAAGCCGCTAAAGCTGGCACTGATGCTTGGTTCAGGATCAAGACACAGACATGCTACTGCTCCTTTTGTGGCCAAACTGTTCATTAGCTCCTAAAGCTATCGGGATTCAGGATATGCTCTTCTGTCCTGCGGAGTTTCTTTTCAGTTATGCTCTTGGAGTTGGATAGTCGAGATACTCTCTGGTAAAGAAAATCCAGGTTCAAAGATATCATGAATAGTCAGAAATCCTGGATACATATTTCAGTTCTTGTATTGCTTTCTTTAGCACAAGGTGCAGCGATGCTGACGGTATGGCAGCACCGCACATCAAAAGCCGTATGATTTTTGTCTCGTGACTAGTCTGGTGGCAGGTCGTAGCTGTTTATGAATGCTACACGAGCAGCCTTGAGAAAGATCTATGAGCAGGGGAATGCCAGTGTGGCACCAGTATTTTTTTAATTCTTTCTTTCAGTTTTGTACCGGGCCCATTATGCCAAAACTGCAAACTATGATGTACAGTGTGTGGTGTCTTTGTGGTTGTGGCTGCCGTTAAGCATAATGCGTTATGTGCTAACACAGATCTCTGTGGCCTTTTATGCTCATCGACGATCATTGAGGAGGTCAAGGTTGAGTGCAAGTCATGTTTCTCATCCTGTTCTGTTACTTTCAGGTAAAAGAGGTGCCGGCTGTGTCGTGCATCTGTTGGCTCAGTCAGGCTCTGCTCTCTGTTGAACCCATATACTGGTTGTTCCAGTGCAAGTCGCGGAGTGTGCAAGGGCAGAAATTGTCATCGTTGCTTTGTAATAAAGCTTTTGCTTTAAGTTGAAAAGAAAAAGGGTTGGGAAGTTGCTTGGTCTGACATCTCAGTTTGGAGTTTTTCTTTTTTTTCCGGGGTAGTTTGGAGTTGTAATAATAAATTAAAAATACATTTACGGGCTGTCTTCAGATAGTGCCAACTAATGTTATTATGTGCTTGTATTCAGATGCTGATTATTATGTTATTTTCGTTGCTGGAATATATATTCTGAATTACCCGCTTAATTCAAGTTAGGGTGGTGTTAACGTGGAGTTGGTGCCGCATACCCCCTGAGGTCGGCCTTACAATATGTGTGTGTTGGTGATCCATACAAACAACTCTTGCTGGCTTATCTCACATCTCGTTCATGTACAATGTTTGTATTTCTAATTTCACAAACTTAGATGTGATTATGCATGCTAATTGATCAACTCCTTGTAGCTCTAGGGTTGGCATCCTTGAACCACTGATGCTTGAGCGCTCGTTCCGCCGTGAGTCTCTTCTCTGGGTTGCTTCGTAGAAGACCGCTCAAGACCTCGAAACCAGCCTCCAACAGTGTTTTTTTACTTGCGGAAAGTTTTTTTTTTACTTTAAACACAATAAAGAATCTGAATACCAACATGGTGTTGGAAGAGATGATTAAAGGACAACACACTCAATTTTTACATAAAGTCACACAACTATCACTTACAAACTAATATCAAGATATCCACGACCGGCATAATGTAATCGTATATAGATTCAAGAGACAAATATAATCGTATATAGGGTTCACTCACTTTCGGTATAGAAAGGCGTATTCTTATCGAGGATAACACATCAAATTTTGAATAGATAGGCATGATTCCAAATACTATTGTATTACACATCTAAACTACACATCTACAACAAATTTACAAGGACTGTGCTAACTTCCGGACGTACTGAATTTAGCAACAGATCTGCACGCCCATTTCTCTTTCTTAATTACTAATTATACATCTAATTATTTCTTTTCTCTTGATTACTAATCTCTTTCGTGGCTAAGGAAAGGATGTACGTGTTGATTTATGTTTTCATGCATGCATGCAAACTACAAGACAAAACAAATGATGTCAGCAAAATATTCTTTCTATTTCAATATTTTAAAATGTTTTGTAGTTCAAACCGTCGATCCAATTGAAAAACTGTTTTCATATAAAATGTTCATCGCGACGAGATCTTCGAAACTAGATCCCATGTTGATATATTCTGACGAATTTTTTTTTCGTGTAAAAAGTTACCAGGTCTGGGCTATGTAAGTTATCATGCCGTTAACACATAAGTTACCAACCTGTTTTCACAGAAATTATCGGACATGAAAAATTATTTTTCAACCTTTCTTCTCACGTGCACATGCATGCATGCCCTAGATAACAAAAAAAATGTTGATATTATCCTAGATTCTCCCAATTTTAGAACTTCAAAATGATTTTGTACCTCAAACTGTCGCCCTAATCGAAAACTTGTTTTCACATAAATGATTTTGTCGTGATGATATCTTGGACACTAGATCCAACATTGGTATGTTCCAATGACTTTTTTGGAGGGTAAAAAGTTATCACGGATGTGCTACGCGAGTTATCATGCTAGTTGAGCATAAATTATCATAGTGTTTCCACAAAAATTACCGGGCATATAAAATGGTTTCTTCGATCTTCTCCCCACATACATATTCATGCATTGCCCAACAGGACGCAAAATGCTAATGTAAGGGGGGATTCCACTGAATTTCAAAAAAAATTGAAAATGTTTTGTAACTCAAACAGTCGCTCCGTTACAAAAATCATTTTGACATGAGAAATTCGTTGCGACGAGATCTTCGAAACTAGATCTCACGTTGGTGTGTTTTGATAACTTTTTAGGTCAAAAAGTTACCAGGACAGGGCTAACTAAGTCATCACCTCTATTGTGTTCATATTACCATGTTATTCTTACATGAGTTACTGAAGGGTGTTTAACA